AAAAGCATTTGGATTTCAAGCCACATAAACAAAAGACTCATTTCTGGGTTTAAGGACATGTTCTTGCAGCACACTACTCTACAGCAACTGAGCTAGCAAGTGTGCTAATGATCAGCTAGAGCTGTTTTCCACCTCCAACAATTTCAAAAATGTTTGGAGAGGAGGTTTACCTGAGAGGCAGATGTGACGGTCTGTCCGGCGTAGGGTGAGGGGGCCATGTTGGGTTCGCTCTTGATGGTGGAGGCGTGTTCTGAGACGGACAGGGAGTTTGGGGAGCTGGTGTCAGAGTTAGTGCAGCCTAAAGAAAAACAGGACCGTCAAATGAGTTCTCAGATTGAAAATAAACCTACAACTATGAGACTGTAATCAGACACCCTTCAGTATGATGTATTTGATGACCTTCAATCATTAGCATTTTTACCAGCTTTAGGGCGTTTTCACAAGCCAACATTTAGGCAAATATCTTAACATTTGGAAAGACTTCTACAAATACATCTCTCATTGTTAGTTTGGTCCACTTTAATTTCTGCACAAATTGAAGTAGAATAAATAGAAAACAAACCAAAAATATCAACCTCACCCTGATTTGGACAGGCAAATGTCGTGTTCAGGTCAAATTGGCCAAATCACTACTCTCATCAGTCATAACTATTGTGTTTTAAATGTGATGACTCAAGGCCTCATGATATCCTCCACAGTAGGCATTTGAACATAAACTGCTGATAATCACTTTCATTACATTTTGAGCGGTTTAGTCAACTTTGTAACACCTGACAGTCCCGGGCATTGTCTGATACTCCCGGTCAGACAATGTTTACAGCTTGAAAAGGTGTTGAATAAAAACATGTTTTATGTAAGAGCAGATCGGTCAAATTTGACACACAACAGGAGGATTAAAACTAACATTTTAGTTTATCCTAACAAGTCAAAGTACATCAAACTGTGTATTTAGATTTCTTTGTCCATCTTCCCCACCTACTACATTCCATTCTCCCCTTACTTACTTCAGGGACCACAGAAGAAAAATAGCCTCTTTGCTAACTGATTAATATAAAAGAAATCAGGCCGTACCTGTGGATGTTTTATTCTTGGGCATCTTGGGTTTGCGCTTCCTGGTCTGAATGCTCTCTTTCTTCATGGCCAGAGGTCTGGCCACCTGTAGGGAGTAGATCAACACACATTAGCTCCCAGTGATACAGTCTGAGGCCACAGTGTCATGGCAACCCACACAGTCCCCCCCCCACACTGATAACAATGACCACAATGCCCTTGGAGAGGCTTTACACTGCGCAAATAATGGGCTGGTTTGTTTTTGCTGTGGTTGGAGCTGTTTCACACACGAGGAAAAGTTATATATTAGGATCCAGCATGAGCATTGGCTATTCTTCCTGGGATCCGCACACACAGTCAACAGCTCATCATTTCATGCAATCAACAGTTGAGTATTAAGTGAACCAAAACTATCCTCCTATTATAACCATCATTAAGGATAACATACCCCAGCTGAGCATGGCTCTCTGGATGACTGTTTTCTGTCCCATATATTTATTTAGTTTTGGGTAAGATGAACCTTCCTTCTGTTGCATGTTGTGTTTAATATGTTGGGCAAACTGCGATATAAACCTATGTGATAATAAGTGCGTCACTGCAAAATAACAAAGCATAAGGCCCTCTGACTGACAGTTAACCAGTTGAGTTTCTGCAGCATTTCCCTCACACTGGTTCTGATGGAGCAGTGTGTTATCTTGTGCTGCTTTGTGGAGCTCTTTCACTGCAGCACTGGACCAGATTACACAACAATAATAAAGCTGCAACAGAACCGATGCATTTAAAACCTGTGTGAGAAAAGCCTGGCTCTGCACAGGAGGCACCATAAAGAGACATGGACCCTGTGGAGGTTCGTACCCCGTGCAGCTTCATGTAGAGGCCGCAGGCGTTGCACACAGGCTCTCCGTCAGCGTTGCGCCTCCACAGGGTGGTGGTGCTGGTGTGGCAGTTAGTGCAGCAGAGCCCGGCCCGGCGAGAGGTGGTCTGCTGCAGGGGGGGAAGACATTTCAATAATTCACAAATCTATAATTGTGCAATATAAAGACTAACTTTGCAATAGTCATTTTTAACTAAAAGCATTCATTTTTATACATTTCCCAACATTTCATTTTTATAAGGCCTCAATACGATATTTTATTTATGTCACTTAGTTCTTTTAAATTGCTACTACACATTTTTTACCCATGGTTGGGTAATTCTTTGACTTTATTTTTTATTTCATTACTAATGTGTGCTTTTCTTTTGTATTATTGCATGCCTTTTTTCCCTGCTACGCCATTTTTGCTGTAACACTGTAAATGTCCCCGCTGTAGGACTAATACATTCTGATTCTGATAACTTCGGTTGTCTGAAACCCAATTCATTTTTTTGAGCGGTCAGAAATAGACTCACAATCCTATCCCTCAACTCTATGTATGATCTATAGTGTGTGGAAGTTCAGTTTTCCACAATGTTTTGACAATGAATTGCAGGATGTCAGAAAGCGTTTGCTGCAACAATGATGCATGTTCCAATCTAAATGCAAACATTTAAATTATTCATTTGTGGGGCAACTTTTAAAGACAGCTTGAATATGTGTACAGCACTCTCTATCAGAGACGTGCACACATAGACTCTAGGTAGTGCTTGAGCACCTGCCCGTCTTGCCCTCTGGACAGCAAGGTGCCCTTTTGAAAGTTCGTTTTTTATTTTTTTTTTTTTTTTACAGTGTAATGTATGTGGCTCATGGTAACATCGATCAATTCTGGATTAAACGCTTCTAATATATACAACAATGCCCCAAATGCGCGTTGTAATTTTGTCAGACATTCCCACACGTGCCCCGCGGCACTCCCGTACGTGCCCTGGCTGCAGCCCCTCCCTTCCCTGCTCTCAACGTGAATGCGCAGCGCGCAGAGCAGACAGTCAGTCAGTCAGTCAGACAGGCCACGGCGGGTGTGTGGTGCAGCAGCACGCAGCAACACGATTAAAAGTGCCCTAGTGACGACCAAGTAAGTAACCACCAGGTTACAAATACAACGAGGGTATTGTTTAATCCCCTAAATCAGATGCCAAACTAAACTATAACTTCACTTCTTTTCCTGCATCCATCCATTTAGTTTCGTTGTGCACTTTTGAAAATTGCAGATCTCGCATTGCGTGGCATTGTGAGCTTGTAGTCTCGTTGTGCACTTTTGAAAATAGCAGATCTCGCATTGCGTGGCATTGTGAGCAGGGGCGTAGCTGGAAATTCTGGGCCCCATGAAAGAATCTATTTGTGGGCCCCCAATCCATGCGAGTGCGCATTAGCGCGCACGCTAAAAAAAATGTGGCCATTTATTTATTGATGAAAACGCATAATATGGTTTTTACCTATACATTCGGATCAGCNTCACCGACTGTGTGAACGTGAAAATGAATAGAATATCACCTCCCATCTTCAGAGCAATCTGACTATTATAACATTAGCGTTAAGAAAGCTTACTTAAATATCTGTCACAACATAACGGATCAGAGTAACATTAAGTACAGTCCGCGGCATATCACATCATAATGTATCATATATTTCCTTATCTGAGTCAGCTGAGCCGTATCTGGCCGTGCAAAAACACTTACAGTGTCACATACTGTATGCAGAAGTATTATTTTAAGCAACACATTAAGTTGACGAAACACTCGAGTCAAATGTAATTAAAGTAAGATCCACTCGTGTCTTAGACGGGTCAGTGATATCATAAACCCGTTAATGTACGCATTCGTTTACCTCTGTATTCACCTTGCAGGTGCAGCTATGTGGCTTTGATCCTGGATAAAGTGTTTAAGTCATGGATGTTTAAAGTTTAACTTCTTCATATTTGACTAATATTATAGTTNTGTGTGCCTTGGCAGTCTCAGGAGGCTTGCAATATTTCAGTTGATTTGTAATGAATCCAGAACGTATGACTATTTTTGTTTTTTTAAATTTGCATTACAGAAAATAAAGAACTTTATCACAATATTCTAATTTTCTGAGACAGTCCTGTATATAGACATGTCTACCATCCTCTTAAAATACTCTCTCCAACAATATCAGTCTCAGGAAGAAATGTTTTGTAACGCTTATTAAAAGAAAAACATGCATTCTTGTAGTCGGGAGGGGACATTGACAGAGGATTACGGGAAAAGTACACAATAAGTACTTGTGGGGGTAGTTTCAGTAGTACTGAGTCCAACAGGATCAATCTCACGAAGAACTAATGGCAATCAAAAAAGATTCCCTCATCAAACTTAGCAGAAGTGGCTTGATTTTGTTCTCAGCAGGGGACTTTGACAGAGGATTTGTTAATAAATACACAGTAAAAGTACTTCAATGTATTGTTAGGTTACAAAGTCAAACAGTATCAATTTCATTAAGAACTAATAGTAACTGTAAGGGAAACTTCTGCAGCAATGGAGAGTCAGAGAGACACGAGGAGAGTTGGAGCTTTGATGTCAAACACTGGTGTTTCATTACAAGTATCGGCCAGATAATTTCACATCACAAGTCACAGCAGCCAGAGGTTCTGAATGCACGGGTGGGTTGCCACATACATTCTCCCCAGCCTCTCTCTCGATAGACCTTTTAACTAGCTTACAGAGAGTTAATCAACATATTGGGGGACTGGAGATAGCCCCAACATCTGGAGACACTGAATCACCTGTCTGTGGTGCTTAGAAGCCAGCGTTCTCACAGTCATAAAACCCTCTGTGACTGATAGTTGCCCGGTCATAACACTGGATATCAACAATAGCTGAAGCCTCCCATTCCTTAAGACAGATAACAGACTCAGGGTTGGCCATAAACGTCAACACAAAGAAAAGGTTAGACTCCTAGGAGTAAGGACAGAAATATTCTCTCACAAAAAGCAGCTATAATTAGTTGGACATGCATTAATCAACCCCCTCATAGAAATGAACACAACATTGCCACTTTCATTCCACATACTGTGATGTCAACCAAACAAAGAAACAATCTTTTGTCAAACTCCAGTGAGGAGGACGCTGCTGCAGTGTACAAGGCTGCCCGCTTCCTCAACATGACGGGCTCGGGGTACGTGTGGCTGGTGGGCGAGCGGGAGATGTCGGGTAAAGCCCTGAGCGAGGCGCCAGACGGTATGTTCATCCAGAGAGATCAGCGAGAATGCACCAGTTAACCCTGGACTCTACTCAGAGGCCGATCATAACACATAAGGATTAGAGGGATTAACTATGGATGCTTTACATGATTATCTGTATAACTGCCTGTTGTGTGTTAAGCATTTAAATGTTTAAGCACTTTGTGTTTAAAGGTTTAAATGAGCCGTGTATCGACGGTGCACTTTTAGTTGCGGATAAGTCAGATCATTGTGCTATTTGTGACATATATGGTTTCTAACGAACTACAACGTTTTTTCAACACATAACTGATAGAATGGTAAGCTCAGCCTTTCTTGTCTCTACTCCCTGGATCTTTTTTCGTAACTCACAATATTTTATCACTTTGTGGTCACAAACGTCCAGCGTCTTTTTCCCCCGGGCACTCTTAACACAACCAACCCCTGCAGAGCGTTTGTTGTCCCCGTCCATGTCCCGTCTCTTCCACCTCCACTGCAGCTTCTTCCGGGAGTCTGCAAGGCTGACGGACCTGCTTGCAATCAGAAAACTTAGCTGAAGTTGGATTGTTGTTGGATTAAATTTAGGTCCTTTTGTTCTTTTTTTCCTTAACACAAATAATGCTTTGCTTGTGCTGAATCCCAAACCTTAGTTGGTAGGTCGTTAATACAAAAATAAAGATCCAACTTCAAGGGACTCTTTACACATGCTTTGAAAAGGTCATCAGTGGCAACATCGTCAAATTGATCCATGTTTTCAGCTGCCTCGTTTCGTAAATGACAAGATATTGATATTTTCAGACGGGTTATTAGATTAAAGGGCAACGAAGATGGATCATGCAGCTGATGTATGACCTTTATTCAGGATGTCTAAACCGGCGGCCCTATTTTACACTTTGTGCATTGCAAAAGGAACCAGAGAGGCCGTCTGTGCTCTGGTCAGTGATTATGTGTTGTTGTTGTTGTTGGCCTGGTCTCAGGTCTGATCGGCCTCCAGCTCATCAACGGGAAAAATGAGTCGGCGCATATCAATGATGCGGTGGCTGTGGTGGCTCAGTCCATCCAGGAGCTCTTTGAGAAGGAGAATATCACTGAACCCCCGAAAGGATGTGTGGGCAACACCAACATCTGGAAAACAGGGCCGCTCTTTAAACGGTAAGCATGAACACAGCCGTGAGGAATTAGGTCATTTCTTTTTCTTTACTGATGTAAAAGGCATAGTATCGTATTTCAAATGTATCGTTTGTTGTCGTTTGAGTTTTGATTTCATTTCTTGACATTTAATTGTATTTTAGAATTATTAAACCAGGAAAATGCTTTTGGAAAAGTGGCAGAAAAAAAACATGTATAACGTAAACTCATTTTAAGACTTCATTTCGCCAGACGCATTCAATCCCGATGAAAAACTGCTGTTTTTAAAATGATAAAATATATTTTCTCAGTTTCTTATGAATTTCACGTCAATTACCTTAAAGCTGCAAATAACAACTCATCATATTCAGTCATTTTACCACATGCACTAGCCTGAGAGCCTTGTGCCGAACCAATCGCAATAAAATGCACTGCAGCGTAACTAATAGGTGACACACTACATCGATGTATGGACACATGTGCTCGTTCACACAGATAACCATTTTCATTTGCTCTCTCCAGGGTGCTGATGTCGTCTAAATACCCCGAGGGCCTCACAGGTCGCGTGGAGTTCAATGACGACGGGGACAGGAAGTACGCCCATTACAGCATCCTCAACTACCAGAAGACTCGACTCGTTCAAGTCGGCATTTACAACGGAACACAGGTGATGGACGGTGACGCAAAGTTAGGTTTACCATTTAGTCAATGATTGAGGAAAAGCATTTTCTAAGTTTATTCCCTAGTTTATTCTTATTGAGAATTAGGTCATATCCGGTCTTTTTGAACATTTGTTCTGGACATGCAGCTCCAGTTTTCTATCTTTAGTACACCACAGTTAATTTAGGACAAACATTGCAGTTCAGCCAGAGCCCACACAAGATGCAGCAGTGTGTCGCAGTGGATTTGTGAAAGTTATTGCAAATATGACATGTTTTTTTATTGCTACATGTTTGGAAACGACCGTACAAGTTAAACATACTACCCTTTCTAAAGTGTGTCTCAGCTGGATGATGTCAGTACCACCAACATTAGGGGTGTGCAAAGCAATGACTGCAAACGTATGAAATTAAGTGTTTTTGTTGTCTTGAATCAAACCTCGATGGCAAGCAGGAGCTGCATGTTACTGAAAATGAAGCCTAACAATTGACTTCATGAGTCCTTAAGTAGGTAAAAATGTTGTTTTTATTGCCGAGCATTTTACAAAGCACAACCTCATTTTTCAGACGACGAAGTTACCTTTCAGGCAGCCGCTGTTTTCCATTTGTTTCAATATAAAAGCCAAGGTGCCAACAAGCCCCCACGAGGCACATTTGTGATTTCTGATATTGGTGCACATAAATCAAAGGGCTTGACGACAACATTCAAGATTTGAGTGCCTTTTGGAAAAGAACAATGTAAGAAATGTTTGGAGTTTGACTTAACAACAAAAACAAATTGACTTTTAATCAGTGGAAGAACATAAATATCCTGTATGTGAATTTATTTAACCCTATCACTGTAATATAACATGAGAAACAAAGGAACAAGTACACAATGTTCCCTGGATTGCATCACCTATCATGCAAGTTTAAACAAGCATTGAATGCCTTCAGAACAGGCGTGCATTAATAATAAAAGCATGAAATATATTGGCATATTAAGACTCATCAACTGGGGTACCCCCATAGCTGTCAACTTGTTGTTATATAACAAGTGTGCTTCACTCCAATTGTTGGCATAACACAATTAATTTGATTCATTTGATTCGTTTTTGTTTTTGTTTAAACGAGTACTATTATTTTAGTTTTTTCTTGCAAGTCTATGACACTATAATCATAGAGAATATTCAGTGTCTTTCACATAGAATATCTGGGTTTAATCTGTGTATTTTCTGAAATATTGGGGAAAACAAGCTTGTTGACCTTGTGTTGAGATGAATCTGTCAAATGAAATGAAACTCATTTGTAGTCGATGTTGCATATTTAAGAAGGCCAGCAATGCAAACACAGCGAAAGCACGCACTGCGAGGATCAGCACTTCACTCTGCTGCTCATAGGGGTGATTAATATAAGTTCCTGAACCCCTCCGGTATAAGTCAGAGGTTTATGAAGTAAATAAAGAAGCCGCTGAGCTGCACTTATATAAAGCTGACTCATTAGTGGTGCTCACCCCCAGTGCTGGAGCCTCATCAGCACCACGCCTCTGTCAGCACTCACCGATGCTACTGTACTGTGTGTGGCATCCGCAGGTGGTAATGAACAATCAGCGGAAGATCATCTGGCCTGGAGGAGAGACGGAGAAACCACAGGGCTTCCAGATGTCCACTCGACTAAAGGTAGGGCGCCTTTGCTTTGCTGCTGAAATCTGACATTCTTGTCCACACAGATCCAGACCTGAGCTGATATACTCGTGTTGGACAGCTCGCCTACACTTGTTTCTCCGAGGGGGGTGAAGAAATGCTGTGATATATTTGCCATGACTTCTGATCTCTTCAAATTTGTCTTAGGCGTCCAAAGAACCTCTCATCTGTATCCTTGTCACTTATTTTTACATTCATCCGTCTGTGTGCGTCCATGTGTATCTGGGAGTTTGTACATGGGTATTTGTGTATCTGCTGGGGTTTTCCATGCATGTTCTCTCTCTCTCTCTCTCTCTCTCTCTCTCTCTCTCTCTAAAGTCCCTCAGGATCTGAACAGATCCATATCTGTCTATGTGATAAACAGCTTTCTGTCCCATCTGTTGTAGATAGTGACGATTCACCAGGAGCCATTTGTGTATGTGAAACCAACTCAACCGGATGGAACATGCCACGAGGAAATGACATTAAATGGAGTCTTAATAAAAAAGGTTATCTGCACTGGGCCCAATGAGACCATCCCAGGTAACCTATCAGGGACGTTTATATTATCTCTGTGCTTTTACTGCACCCGCCAAACACCCACTGGAGATGCATACATATATATGCAGTAGGTATCTATATATGTATGCATGTAGCTGAGTGTGCCATTCAGAATGTGTGTTTGTGGGGATGCTAGGACATGCTTGGTGTTTGTGTTTCTGGCAACAGTGTGACTGTGTGTGGTCGTCCGCAGTGTCATACATTTCGTTCCGTCTTCGTTCGCCGCCTTTAGATTAACAAACGTACGTGTTGCATTAAGAGTGATTGTAACTTTGAACTGTTGCTGGTTTTATTACAGGACGCCCAATTGTTCCCCAATGTTGTTACGGATTCTGTGTTGATCTCCTTATCAAGTTGGCTATGACCATGAACTTCACCTATGAGGTGCACCTGGTGGCCGATGGGAAATTTGGAACACAGGAGAGGGTTAGTTTGACCTTTACAGCGCTCTTTGTTGTATGTTTGCATGAGGCACATATTGCACGCAAATCCTCACATTCAATACCTAACTTCTTTTTAATCTCCCTATTTTATTCCACTAACAGTAGTGATCTAACAACTATTCAGAGCTGAAGCAATAGGCGGTCATAAAACGGAGACCCCAGGTATCAAAAGTCCAGCAGGTCTACTGGTGTCAGCTTTAAACACTGAGCAGCCATCACCATGAGTGTTTTAGTCAACTAGGATTTGCAGATTGGTTTTCATTGGCAAAATACTTCATCTTATGTATGCACAAATATTGACAGACATTTTCCCCTCAACAGTTTGCTAACTTATATTTGCAGTTAGCTAGCACATTATGTTTAGCTCACGTTTTTGAGCTAACGATAGCTTAGCTAACATTGGCTAACAATAGAAGGAATAAAGGTTGGATATTTTCTAGGTAAATTGAGGATTTGAGCCTCAACAGTTGACTAGCATCAACACGGAAGAATTATACATCATACACTATTTATTAGTTTGCTAAATCACGAATGTAGTCGATCTATGGGTTTGCCCATTGGTTAGGGCTTGTTCATTCAGGTAAGGTGTTGACAATAAGTCATGTTTTACAATATCCTTAAATATTACCCCTGAATAAATATTGTTTTGTAACTTATGTTAAAGAATCTTAATGTGGACGGGTTAGCAATAAAACGTAATAGTCCTCTACTTAAATCAATTTGCACAAACCCTTAAAAGGGCTATCATTCAAATGAAAATCTATTTGACAAACTTGAAAGGGGTCGCTCGTAGCGATGAACCTACAAAGAGTAATCAACCGAGTTTCCACTTATATTTAATCTAAACAGGCTTTCTGTGGAAGCATTAATCTTTAACCCAGAGAAACCGTACGGATGAGCACGATACTCTACAATTCTGGTGTCCTTCAGTGCATGATCTTATTGATTCCTGAAAATAAGCAAGCTCTGTTATGATCCCCAGAGCCAGTTTTGAAGTTTTGAAGCACGTCTTAAGAACTTATATCCCCACTTGACCTACCCTAAATCCTTAAAGTCTGCAAACATTCTGTGGTCTAGACGACAGAAGGATCTGATTCTCATTTTAACACTTTCCTTTTGGGGCTTCAGGTGAACAACAGTAACAAGAAAGAGTGGAATGGCATGATGGGAGAGCTCCTGGGGGGCCTTGCTGACATGATTGTAGCCCCGCTGACTATTAACAACGAACGAGCCCAGTACATCGAATTCTCCAAGCCCTTTAAATATCAAGGTCTCACCATCCTTGTTAAAAAGGTAAGTGTCTTCATTTAGTCCATTTGATGCTCTATTAGGAGAAATGTATAGCTCTATTGTGAAAAGATTTGTATCCCTTGTGTATCTATCTACTGTCAACACTTGCAATGACCATGTTTCTTTGATTAAATGCCACCTTGAAGTTCACTGTGACAATAATATGCAAATGTAATCAAAGTTGTAGGTCCAATTGAATGACAATTGCCATGTGTGTTTTCAGGAAATACCTCGCAGTACACTGGACTCGTTCATGCAGCCGTTCCAAAGCACGCTGTGGCTGCTGGTGGGTCTTTCGGTGCATGTGGTGGCGGTGATGCTTTACCTACTAGACCGGTTCAGGTACAAGGGGGACATCTGTGTGTATGCGTGTGCCCATGTGTGTGTTTACGTGTAATCACAACTGAATGGGTGAATGTGTGTGTGAGAAATGTGTGTACATGCACTCCTGAGCGCTGTAGATCTTACCTCGGTATGGACACGGAGGCAGAAAGAGGTGAAGATCGGCTCCAACCATCCCACTGCTCTCTCCCTGTCTTTGTCTGTTTCCTTTCCCAGTTCGTCTTCCTACTTGCTTTGCCCGCTCATGTTCAGTTCCCTTCCCTGCCTGGGGTCGCCAGGGTTTTCCACTCTACAGGTTCTATGCGATTTCTCATTTTATCTCCTGCAACCCTCCCAATTTCTTCCCTCTAGCCCGTTTGGAAGATTTAAAGTAAACAGTGAAGAAGAAGAAGAAGATGCCCTCACCTTATCATCTGCGATGTGGTTCTCCTGGGGAGTGTTGCTGAACTCCGGTATTGGAGAAGGTAAGATTATAAAGGAAAGTCATTCCTGAAAATCTCTAAACCCTCATGTAATCGCAAGTAAATGTAGCCTTTCTGCCAAAGCACTGTTATGCTGTTGAGTAATTTGGTTTTACACAGTTTCAGAGTTAGAATAATTAAGGCATTTGTAGTTCCAGGCGATGCCTTGCTGACTGTCATGTTTTTCTTTGAGGATGACAAATTAGTAACTTTCAAATTAAATTGTGTTGAGAAAGAAAGTGACAGATCCCATCTTTAAACAGCTTACACCTGTTCTAATGATTTGTTTCATTTGTCTTCCAGTTTCCTTTTAATGTCTGGTATTTTTAGAGGGCTATATTTGTATTTCTATGTAAAGTTATGCACGTTTTTATATTAAGGTAGATGGTTCATTGTTTGCAGTAGTAGTTGTTAAAGTAGTAAAAGCTCTTATCCTTTTTTTTTTTTAACTCACCACACAGGTGCACCGCGCAGCTTCTCAGCGAGAATCCTAGGTATGGTGTGGGCCGGATTTGCCATGATAATTGTGGCATCCTATACTGCCAACCTGGCTGCCTTCCTGGTGTTGGACCGACCTGAGGAGCGCATCACCGGCATCAATGACCCAAGGGTGTGTAACGGGCGGTATTAGGACCAATGTAACAGTTACTGGTGAAACAGTGGATATCTCGGCCAAGACCTCCTCTTCGGTGTGCTGATTAATTGTTTACTGTACGCAATAATGGAGTTGATGGAGAAAGACCAGGTTGAAGCCAGTTAACAAGCTGATTTTAAACAACCAATACAATTCCCAGACATGAGCAGATGGGGTCCCAGATTGTATCTTGCTCCATTTGTTTCTCTTTCTTTTCAGTGGACCGCACAAAAATATGTCTTAAATTACATTTGTTATTCGCAATTAGTAATCATGACTCGACTGTTTGTGTCTTGTCCCGGTCTCTGAATCCAGCTGAGAAACCCATCGGACAAGTTCATCTACGCCACGGTGAAGCAGAGCTCCGTGGACATCTACTTCCGGCGGCAGGTGGAGCTTAGCACCATGTACCGCCACATGGAGAAGCACAACTATGAGAGTGCCGCCGAGGCTATCCAGGCTGTGCGTGACAAGTGAGTCTCGGCCAGGCCGGGCCGACAACAGCTAGTGTCGGCCGGCTGCTCGATTTATCAGACACACAGACCAGGGTCAGTCCAGTCAGCTCAGGGGGGGGGACATGGACCTTTGGCTCAGACGGAGATGGCAGGACTTACTGCAGCGCTCCCTCTGATCCGGGCCCATTGCCCAGCCAAGAAAGATTCAGGGACAGGAGCAAGACACGTGTCAACAGCATTGGCACAAGTGTGAGGTTAAGCTAACATTGAGTCAAGAAGCACCCTTTTTCAGGTTGTACCAAGACGAACATCTTTCAGATGGGGGGAATCCAATGGGGGACGTGCCCTCACCCATCTGGCATTGGATTTCATTTGGGCCATAAGAGCGGTAGAGATTGCTGGTAAACGCTGTGTGACACACACGATCTGGTGTGCGAGAGAGAGAGAGGGGTGGGAGCCGTAAATGTGTATGTAAATCATTGTACTGTTGCGCCGTAACCCCCTCCTTCCCCTCCTACCTCCTCCCTCCTATTCCTCCTCCCTTCCCCTCCCCCACAGCAAGCTGCATGCTTTCATCTGGGACTCTGCGGTGCTGGAGTTTGAAGCTTCGCAGAAGTGCGACCTGGTGACCACGGGAGAGCTGTTTTTCCGTTCGGGCTTTGGCATAGGCATGCGCAAGGACAGCCCCTGGAAACAGAATGTGTCCCTGGCCATTCTCAGGTCTGTCCCAGCCGAAGCTGCATTACTCGTATGACTTTTTGTTTTTGTTTCTTATCAGTATGATTTCATGGTCAGGTATTGACCTTTTTTATTAACCATTGAATACATTGCCTTATGTCACATCTTATATCTCTGTATCTCCTCTTTCCTTCCCTATCTGTCTGTTTGTCTATGTTTGTCTGTGCACCTGTCCTGCTGTCTCTGTCTCATTTGTGTAGCTATCTGGGAGTAGGCAACTCAGGTATTGCGCCAATCACAGCGTGTATTAACTTTGTTACCTCTCTCTCTACCAACCCCAACCCCTTGCAGTTCTCATGAGAATGGCTTCATGGAAGACCTAGATAAAACCTGGGTGAGATACCAGGAGTGTGACTCAAGGAGCAATGCCCCAGCCACACTCACCTTTGAAAACATGGCAGGTATGGTCCATAAGGCATAGAAAAAGCGTTAAAAGTGATTGGACAAAAACTGCAGTGGTAAGGTACTGTAGCCCTTTTTTGTCCAATACCTTTACAATATCGTTGTGTTAGTGTCGGCGTGGTTGCCTTGTGGAAATGTGCCGTATAGTATCTTGTGCCGTGACGTGTGTGGTTGTGGACTTCAATTCATATTGTGTGGGTTGCAGCTGCCTCCATCAAAAGGAGCTGGTTGAAAAGGACCGCTGATCATGACTGGGAGACCATGCATTCACGATCAGTGGGAGCGTGATAGATCAGCATCTAACGTATATCTTTCTCTGCTCTGTGTTTGTTTGTCCGTCTTAACAGGGGTATTCATGCTGGTGGCCGGTGGGATTGCAGCAGGTATCTTCCTAATCTTCATTGAAATCGCCTATAAGCGCCATAAAGACGCCCGCAGGAAGCAGATGCAGCTGGCCTTTGCGGCGGTCAATGTTTGGAGGAAGAACCTGCAGGTAAGATCGATCCCCTCTGCTCGCTCACACCCAGGGTGGAAAGGCTGAGACTTGGTTGCAAGAGAGCCAACAGAGCCCCCTACTAATGGGGGATCGATTGGACTCTCAGCCTCTTTCGAAGCTTTTCATTTTGCACTTGAGTGGTGGTCAGATTGCCAGATCACAATCTGAGAAACTGTGATCTCGGATGCCTTCATGCACTTTAAAGCATCCTCAGTGGCCACCGTGTAGATCACAGTTCCTAGAGGCCAACGTGTCTCTTGTGTCTGCCTGCAGGACAGTAAGGAGGTCTCTGGAAGTCAAGCGATGGGAGGGACCCCCTCATTAGTATGTAACTAACTAGCAGAACCATCTCCACCCCCATGCCATCTCTAGCTGTTAGATTAACAGTAAGATAATTAGCATTGCGACCCTCTAACCTGAAGGCCACCCGACTAAAACTTCACCTCCTATGCGTCCATTGCATGAGCTATATAGTATTTTCCAAGCTGCTGCTGTGGCGCTTACACACTTCATAAGGTCAGATGACGTGGACATGGAAAGCCTACCATAATAAGCAAATGTCCAGCCAGAAATATCCTAAAAACAGTGATTACAGTCCGGTTGATGCACTTTGATTTTGTCCTCATTGATTGCTTTCACTCTGAAGGCCATACTGACAGCAGCCAGGAGCTCACAATGCAAATAGAGCATAAAGATTAAAATCAATGCCCACACTCAATCACACTGCATTGCCACGTCCAGTATTTTGAGAACTGTAAATGTGACAGTGTGTCTCTTTAATAAGTGCAGTGTGCGTTATGCAGACACCAAATACGCCTCGAAACTTATCCTGCATGACGGGGGCTTCATGCAAGCAGAAGCAGGCTTCAATTTAAAGGGTCAGCTCACCCACATTTATAAATATATATAACGTTCTACTTGTCCAACTGTGTCTGGCCATGCAGATAGCTTTGGTTTAAAGAGATAGCTTAGATTTTCTGAAGTGGGCTTTTATGAGGTTTAGTGAGTGTAATACTTTTAGCGAATCACAGTCACGCACCCCCTTTGGTGTTTGAAAGGGAGAGTTTGGGTAAATTGTCAAACCATAACCAAACAAATGAACCAATCAAGGCAGAAGTAGACCTGTAACGTTTGTGCTCAGCAAGGTAACATGTATTATTTCTCAATAGAGTCTGTTGGATTTGAAGAGAGCATAAGTAGCAGCATTAGCCACTATTCATAAATGGCTGTCAAGTAAAGTACACACATTCTCAGTATATGTACAGTTATACTGATATTGATCTTTATTAGTTTGGCCTTTTTCAGGTGGCTAAAAATAAGTTTGCCGCTGCCTCCTCCCACATTCCTTAGCTTCTGTGCTGTTACTCATACTATCCCTCCTAAACAAAATCTTCTGCAATCAATTTCTCTTTCGTAATTTGAGTGAACCAACCCTTTAAGAAATAATCAATCAGTAAGGTCCTTCACTCAGCCGGCAAAGAACATGATTTGCCCCCGTTTCCTAATGCAATCAAATGGGGCTGTGGAGCGTCGGAGCACCCCCTCCTCCTCTTTTTTACACTTTCACTCCCTGATTGGATAGCTTTAGAAGTTGCAGGGTGGGAAAGGAAAGGGACAACTGCCCGTAGACCTCGCGCTTCAGACTCCTGTCAGCGATGATCATGTCGATTTCTATGCATCGCTGAACAAAGGCGGCTCATGCATGCTCATCTTGCTTATCGAGCGTCACCGTGAGCCCTGCAGCCAGAATACACACAATCTTTCTCTAAATATAACCGCGGTAATGGATTGAGTCTCATGCAAGGAGCACACATGGAGTCTACAAAGTCAAGTTGAGCTCAGACAATATGTTCTATTCAGAATATTATTCATACAGTTTGGGTGCACAGATTAGATTATTCACCGTGATCTAATTTCCACAAATTTAAAACGACAACTTGGTCATGTAGGACACAAGCTCATCACGATGGAAAATCTAAGATCACAGTTTATGTGGCCCTCTTCCTTCCTTAGTGCAGCAAGCACTGAAACCTGGAGTCCATAGTTGAATGTGTTTGAATGCCATTGTGTGCTTCTACTGCCTCAGGCGGGTGTAGTACTGTGCACCCTCAAAACTGTAAACAAATGAGGCGTAACCTGAGAGAACTTGCACTTCTGACTAACAATATCTGTTTATGCACTCCCATCCTCTATATGCTGATACTGCTTAAAAGCCCTCATCATATAAGTTTACAAAAATATAAAGGTGCATGCATGGTAATAATGGCATGCCTAAAGCATTCTTTAAGCAGCTGTAGTCACAGAGATGTAGTGGGGGTAGTCTAACTTACCTTCATTAAGCACCTTTTTATATTCTGATAATAAATACAGCCTTTTTAAGCTATTTTAAAATCTAAGATTAAATCTGTGTCTAATTTACAACATGTAACGGATGTTCTGTACAAACATTGTGAGATTATGAGAACCTGGAAACAGACATGCAACAGACCCAAACGCCTCTCCTACATATAGGAGCAAGACACACAAACTTTACATTACATTTCATTTAGCTGACGCTTTTATCCAAAGCAACTTACAATTACCAATTACAGGGACATTCTCCCTGGAGTAACTAAGGGCTAAGTGCCTTACTCTAGAGGACGCTAGTGGTGGTGTTCCAGGTGGGATTTGAACTCACAACCTTCTGATCTCCAGCCCACCTCACTATCCATTAGACCACCACTATCCCACTTTACATTTGCTTTGCCTCTTCTTGTTGTCATTAAGTGTCTCTTTGTAGTCATTTGTCTCTTTGGATTTCTCTGGATCTCTTTGTAGTCATTAATGTCTCTTTGTAGTTGCTCTGTATCTCTGTGTTATCATTTAGTGTCTCTTTATTTTCATTTTGTTTATCCTTCTGGCTTGTAGTGTTGGATCTCTTGGTTGGAACGTTTCTTTTTGAGGGACATTATGTATGCTCGATAGGCTCGTTCAGTAATCCATGCAAATCAAAAAGAACAGTGAAGTTTGGATTTACGTTCATCCAATACACGCTTATGTTGTTCTGTATCTGCTGTACATGTATTATGCAATCGATTACTAACTACTTTGCATTATCAACAAGGGGATAATGTGTCACAGCTTTTTTCCTTTCCCATAAAGTGGACAAGAAATCAGTTAATACAGATATAAAACTCACTAAAGCAATCTTGCTAGGTCTCATAAACACGTTGGTAACACTTACAACGTGTCTTCTGTCTAAAATGAATGAAGGCATTCCTACAGAGGCATGCCCAACGCTGTAGTCTTGTATCTAAATTGAAAATTGAGTTAGTTGAAAAAAAAGTATTTTACAATTACACATAAAAGCACTCTGTATGTTTCTTTCTATCACAAATGATGCATTGCATTGGTTAAAAAAAAAAGTATAGGCTGTTCTATAAATGTACATCATATAGATTTATGTTACTGATCTCTAGCGTGATCACTGGTGCAGAAGGTTTTGCCGACCACTACATCTCTACGAGGCTACAGGTCTGCCTTCCAGTCTTCCCTTTAATAACAGAGGTTACTCAGAAGTGCACCGTCTGAAGGAGACAGAAACTGAAGTCAGTTTGGGATGAAAACAAAAAACTCATGATGATGAATATGGTATTTAATGATGAAGCCCTGCAGCGGCTCGCTTTGGTTTCGGACCAGAAACAACACTGTACGAGTCACCATTTCGCTCTCCTTCCGATGGTCCAGCATGCAGTGCATGTACGGACTGTGCACACGCAGCTCCTCATCAGGGCTCTGAGCTACTGCCGCCTCGCACACGTGTGAAATATGAAGGAAAGTAAAGATTACAAGAAGAGACGTCACCTTGGTTCCTGAACCAAGAGTCATACAGCTAGTGGCACTTCCTCCATTTACTAACATGAGATGTCATCTTTCAACAGGAAAATACTTTTATTTTATATACCTGCAATAAAATCGAGTGATGTGGTGTACCAATCACTCGTCTGCCGGCGCTCATCTATCCTCCCCGCCACCATGTCATTAGAAAAAAAAGAGAAAGTGCTGGTTGGCGGGGTGATATAACGGTGCCCTAAAAGAGCCTAGTCATGTGACCTGATGAAAAAGGATGAACTGCGGGGGCCAGTGCTGGCCAGGATTGATTTGTCATGCTATTTGTTTTATGTTTAATTATTCTATGTTTTCCTCCTTTTTTCCCTCTCTCCATCCATAAAACGTTCTGGCATGTTGAAATTCACACCACACTGCCCCGCCCGGCTGAAGGGCCTCCCCCCCTGCAACTACTCACCCATCCTCCACCTATACTTTAATAACATCCATCCTAGAACGCTTTTTTTTTTTTTTAAGAAATAGAGAATAGAAAATATTTTGTTTTTTGCACTTTAACTCGGATAAAGAATATATTTTGCAGCTGAAGTAGCGTGATCATTTCTTTATACATTTCTTTTAAATGCACTTTTCTCCATTCTCCATTCCATTCCCTTGCGTGTGGGGTGAATTTCCATTATACCGCTTTGAGGTATAATGACTTTAAATGGGCTTAACTTACTGACTTTTTGTCGCTGCTGTTCTCCCTCTTTGATATGCATTTTATGGCCTCCGATACTATAGCTCAACGTTTTTATACTTGCCTGGCTTTGGATGTGGATGTTTGCTTTGCTAAGTCTTCTTTAAACACCTCGCTCTTTTTGGTTCCCTTGGCTTTTGCTTAAGGATCTTTTTTAAAGTAATAACGATCAAGTGGATGGAAATTTATTTTATTTTCCTTTTCTCCCCCTATGCAGCCCTCTTCCTCTCTAGAGACTCAGGATGTAAGAATACCTTAATATGAGTTTTTATTTTGCACACAAACACTATTATTTATTTTGTTAAGAATAGCTATTGGGCTCTCTGATGGTATGAGGGCCATCTTTTAAGGATACGGTTAAAAATTCTTCTCTCTTTTCATTTCTATCTCTGTTTTGAAAGAACTGCATATAGTTATATTTGTTTAGTTGATCCAATTTTAAATTTGCTTGTTTGTTGAGATGAGAAAGTGGAATCTTTGTGTTCAGGCAGAATATATTTAGAAGTGTAACGTAGGTATCACACCCACTGACATCTTTACTAGTCATCACTCATTCCAATGCATTTGAAGGGGGTCGAGTGAATGTGTCAGCACATTTCTTGAAGGCTACCGGGCCGTCTTGTGCCGTCCCAGTGTAATAATGTAGACCAATGCCCTCATTCAGACTGAAAAGACTACTTCCACTCTCACATCTAACAGGCTTTATCCCTTTCTTTCTCCCTCTTTGCGCATTTGATATTTCCAAATGCTGTAGTCTTTCTCATAAGGACCCTCTCTCTATTTAGACCACATACAATAAGCTCATTGACTAGGGTGGTGTTGGTATTGGTGGGAAAAACAGAACGGGTGAAACCACGGTTGTCACCCTGGCCAGAGGACATGAATAATGATTCTACATATATTCATTTTAGGATAGGAAAAGTGGTAGAGCAGAGCCCGACCCCCAAAAGAAAGCCTCTTTTAGGTCCATCAGTACCAACCTGGCTTCCAGCATCAAGAGACGTAGGTCCTCCAAAGACACGGTAAGGAGACGAAGAAGCAACATCTTCCCCCTCTTTACTCCTCCTCCTCCTCTGTCTCTACTTCTCTCCTTTCTCCTCCTCTGTCCTCTCTGCCTACATCTCCATACCGACCGCGAGGGAGTCCCATGTCCTCACCCACCATTTCCACACGGCTCCGCGGCCTCTGCCACGTGTCTGTCCGTTCACCATCGATCAGCCATCACCATTTAGCATCTGTAGATCCTCTTACAGGCTGGAGGGCATCAGGGCAGGAACTCAGGTCAGGAGCTGGGCTCTGAATATGGAGAGCAAGCCAGGGTCTTTTAGGGCTTTTGATGGGATTAGTGACCTGATCAAGGGGGGGGGGCAGTCTGCCAGTGGTGTTTTGTCTTGGGCTGCTCTTACTCTCCGCCTATGGTCTGGACGTGGATTCTGGCGATTGTGTGCTGTATTGGTGGCGTTGTGGTGTGTGTGTGTGTGTACTGTACTTTACGTACAAGTGATATATATCTATGTCCGTGTCCTGTCTTTTTGACTTGCTTGATCCTTCGTATATCCATTGTTTCTTTGCACCTCCCACTTCCTCTGTTTGGGTTTCAGCCGCTGTCTTTGCTTTTGGTTCGAAAAAGCATGCGCTGGTGTTTTGTCATTTTTTTCCCCCCCAAACAATCCATTTTCAAGGTTGTCGCGATGGCCGGTGCTCGTGTGGAAGAGAACTAATGTCTTATTCTTTTTTTATCAACATGTCTATTTCAGGATTACACTCATGGATTTCTATTGATCAATTTACTTTTGGTTTGATCATTTTCTTTGTCATAATTCTTGTTTATTTTTCAGTGTCCTTGTGATCCGAACTGTGCATGCCTTATTCAGGGTATATTTCAGGTGTTGATGACGGCCTTCTTTTATGCTTTAATTATATGTTTTGTGTTCCAAACTGCAAAGCCTTAGACTCTCACTGTGTTACAAATATGAGCTATGCTTTCTTTATTTTTAAACCACCATCTCTTTACCTTTGCTTGACTCCTTTGTTGCAGCACATTGAGAGTGTCAGGTTTTCTCCGCTCATTTACAGTTGAGTTGAAAGGTCCTGCTCGTTGCAGTTGGGAGACTGTACTCCATACACTTGGAATACTCTGACAAACCATTGAACCGCACTCATTTGTGCCCAGCTGTTCCTCCACATATAGCTGGTCCAAATCTGGCATGACATTAAAAAGCAGAATGATCTCTGGAGATAGCACAGACACCTTCAAGGAAAAGCTTCTTCCCAGGGGAGACGTATCCTACGTCAGCTAAACTAACGGGTTACAACAAAACTATTATTGTGTGTTTTTATTTGATCTCATGTCTTTCTCTCTTTCTCTTGTTTTAACTGTCTTTTATTTCAAATCGATGTTTTCTGCCTTGAATCGAACCACCTTTACTCTCCCCTGGAGGTTTCTCAATAGCATTGGTCACATATGAAGAGAAGAAGAGTGGGATCGCCATTGTTACTATGTTTGTCTCCTACAAAGTCATGTTCCCATACAACTAAACCGCATTCTCAATAACGTTCCGTGGGTGTTTTCTCCCGGTGTATTACGGTCAAAGTTTCGAACACGATAAATGTTTCCCTCGAAACCAAATTGACAATCTGGTTTCATTGTATGGGAACGTCATCTTTAGGAGAAGGTTTCTGATGCCTGTTTTGAGAGCCATAGCTGAAGAAATGGCTCAAAGTGGTCAAATAAAACAGTGTAGATGCTCCAATCGCAAGATTTCCCATTCCCAGTCTTTGACCATTATTTTTGATTTTATATAAATGTTCTTCTTTTATATTAATGGATATCAATGGACTTGAGTGTCAGTGTCCCTCACCCACATGCCACACTGCTCCTCTCTCCCTCTGCAAGCATGCCGACGACTGTACCTGTCCTAGCTGTAGCAACAGAAATAACCTCTGTAGTTATATCCTAAGAAGAATCACCATAGCTGTGTTGCATACATAGCTTTATAACCATTACCTGTAGTTGTGATGTCAGAGAGCTGTCTCTCTTTTTGCTGGTCCACTTGACCCCAGTAGGGCGCGCTGTTAGCAGGCCCTCAAGGTACAAGACATGAGGAGACCCACATGGGGGCTGTAAGCCATATGATGATGATGCAACCTGCGGGTCAAGGAGATGAGGGACATTCACTCTGACTCTCAGAAAATACGACGTTTCTCAATTCAGAATGGATGTCGCTCCATCTGTCAGCATGTTGGTTGCATCATAACAGCTTCTTAAGCTCGTATGCTTGAATGTATTGGCTCTATCGGCTTAATAAGAGAGGCACGTTGATCCTAAAATCTTGCTCAATTGAGAATGACAAACAAAAAGTACATTTAAGATGGGTACACTGAAGACTCTTCAGTGTTTTGGTTACGCAACGTAAAATATTCATTAGTAATGCATTAAGTAAACAAAAGATGCTCTCTTGCACACTGGATTATTGAAACAGGATTTTTCAACATAGTGCCGTGAGTCAGGATTATGCTGGCAAGTTGGACCCAATCTGTGTTCCAAAACATGAGCCTATTCTATAAAGAAATGCATGTTACAAGCTCTAAGTATGATGCAATCGACTACACTCACAATGATAACCAGAGATTGTTTCTATATTTGCACTTGTTAGCAGGAAAAGCAGCCTCAGCACTGCAAAATATGGCTTACGGCTGTCAGACCACACACTCTCAACATACTCAAGGCAGAATCACAGTTGCCATAGAAACTAAGCACCTGCATGAAAACGGGATCTTGTTTTTCCCTCTCAGCACTGTAGACGCCTAACAATTCAACGCACTCTGCTTTATAAGAAGCACATTGGAGCCGGGAATGGACGTAAGAGTCCGGCACAACAGCACTTTGAACTTCAGAAATTCATCTTCTTGTCCATGAGCTAAAATTAGAATGGGCCGCCTGTCTGCATGCGTACAAATGACTGTGGGGAGATAAATGACCTGCCTGTTTTCCCTTGGCAGGAAATTATCACCCGAAAAACAAATGATGCCTGATTCAAATGTGCTGTTGTCTCGAGACTCCGGACTTTACGTATTCTCCCAACTAGCCCACCTCAGGCACAACCTTAGCAAAAAATCCAAACTGATCCAACAAAATAAAACAACAAAACTGTGGTTTGCCCGAGAGGGGTTAGAGAACCCTCATGCTTCCTTATTTCTGCCGAAATGAAGCACAGGTGTTCTTAAAATAAGATATGAATGTCTAGATAAGTATGCTAACGTTCTGGCAAATGCTGCTTTTGTCTAGAAATGACTGTCTGTCTTCTTCCTCCCTCCCCATTTCTCTTCGTCTCTGCAGCAGTACCCACCTACTGACATCACGGGCCAGCTCAACTTGTCTGACCCGTCTGTCAGCACCGTGGTTTAAAGAGAGGGGAGACGCCGAGGTCCGCTCCCCGAGGAGAGAGGAAACGAGACGAGGGAAAGAAAAGGAGAGGAAGAAGTGGACGGGGAGAAGGAGAAGGGAGAAGCCATCTCCTCGTTCCCTTCACCACTCAAGTCGAGGCTTTCATTTCACCGCCAGTCGAGGGAAGCTTCGGAGGAAACTTGCTTGCTGAAGAAGTGTCTGACTGAACTTGCACCCTTTTTGACAGTCAGGATTACCTGGCATTAGATATTTGTAGGGTCCCTGAGCATGCACAGAAGAACCCATCTGACTCAAATATACAATCTTTTCCTTCTGTATATTATTAGCAAACTTATTTAACCTTGTTTTTTGTCATTTTGCTCACTCACAGAGACTTAATGTTTGATGTTCAAAGTTCCTGACCCGCTGTATAAGTTTAGCAAGCCAGGTTTAGTTAGTTAAGTTTAAGGAAGTACTGTACTTAACATATCACTTTAATTAGGGCTTAAATACCATAGTGATTTTCCTAACAGCATATACCGCAATACAAGACGTACTGTAAGCTTCAATCGATATCAATTATTTTTTAATGCAAACTACCTATGTTTTTATCTACACTTTAAAGGTTTTTAGAAAATGTTGCTTTCTTTGAGAAGCACTATTAATGGCACTAAGGATAAGGAACTTGTGAAGATGATGGGAGCATGTGAGCGCTTGTATATGAATAAGAGCTTTATGTATCTGAATGATGACATTTTTATTTTGAAGGCTGTATACCAGATTCTATAGTTGTTTTCCCCTTTAATTGTGTACTTATCAACCAAATGCATGTTTTTGTGTTCTTCTAAGAACTCAAAGACATTCTGTTAAGCTTAACTATCATTCAAAGCAAGGTGCAAGCTGAACTCACTGAATATTTGGAGATCTGATCAAACAGTTAAGACTGGTGTTCTTATGTACGAGAACATGTTCTCATTCGTGAGCCATGTTGCTTTTGGGGGCGCCCTCTCTCTTCCTCTCTCCTGCCGCAGCAGTCTTTCTCATTTCCAGTCTCTAAGGGGCTGCATCAAAGGGCCAGGTTTTTAACTTAACCGTCACTCGGTCTTTCATGCAAAACCTCGTCCAGGCGTAACGCCGGACAGTTTTTCACGAAGGAACCCCGAGTGAATTCAAAGCATGGTCTTGGTTAGGCGTAAAAACAGGCCGTTTCCCATTTTCTGGAGCTGAGAAACCACTGCTGTTTGTTGAATCACCTCGTGTCTGCTCTCTGGCACTGCATAGCACTTTATGCTGAGGCGTCTCCCAAACAGTCAAATAAGAAAATACCGATTAGTCGAGAAACAGAGTAACATCAGTCAGACATATTAACTTCTCCACTTTCACTTCAAATACAGTATCTACACAGCCTTTAGAAAATTAATAATGACCTTTGAAACAACTACACCAAGTGCAAATCAGAATTTGGTTTTCTAACTCGAACCAGGAGTTTGCTTTCTGATCATGTTCTCATTCCGGCCTTTGCATGCTTACGTGTTACTATCGGTGCTTGGGTTTGTTTTTGGATGCGTGTTGTTGCCGTGTACAGTCAGCTGAGCTGTGTGGAGCACTCCCTGTAAATAGATGTGGTGTAGATAGGTTTGAGGAGATTGTACCGCTTGTATTACGACTGCAGCTGAGAATGTCTAGTAACACACGCCAACAACAGTTGTGATTCACTGGCATGAAACAAACACACAAACAAACACACATACACAAACACACACTATCACTTGTTTTTCTTACCTTTTCAAGTAATGATCTTGCATTGAATCATCTTGTTTATACAACTGTAAATAAAATATACTTGCATTGCCAAGTCTACCCAATCCTATGATTTTATAGTTGTTTAATGGCTCGCAACAACATTATAAAATACATCTGTTCAATTTATTTTTGGGTCAATCCATGTATGATATTGTCGCAAATGTGAGGGAATTCTGAGAAATGTCCATCAAAAACTCACAATGCATAATGATAACTTCAAAAACAACATTACAAAATTGACCTATATTTAGATAACAATGGGGAAAAAAAGGAACAAATCATGGTTGAGAAATCTAAAATGTAGAAAGCCTTCAATTATTGTCAATACATTTTCCATGGAATGACTAATGGATACTTGAATTATGAATTGTTTACAAATGATGGAGTTAGTAAAATGTTTGCACTTCTACAACTGCTTTCTTGGGGGTTTCAAAGTAAAAAATGAAAGATTGTAACTAAGGTAAGCAGGTAACTGTACTAAGAGATCAAATAATTTGAATATCAAAGAAACTAGAGAGCATTTAGTAACTATTTTTCTCTTCCTGTAAAGCTGAATTTGGTCCGCCTTTAGACAGTATGGTTGACTCCTAAATGGTAAAGTAATATACTGTGAAACTATAAGAGCGATTACCTGCCGAGTGTTTTTGACTTGTAAGTAAGTAACACCTGTCCAGCAGGGAGCAGCAGAGAGTCACAGAGAAAACATGAGAAACATGGTGGAGAAACTGAAAGTCCGGAGATTGACACCAAATCAAAACCAGAGTGGATCATGGAGACACAAACCCTCTCCAATAGGATCATAATTATAGCGCTTTGTGTTGGGTGAATGTTTATAAAGATATTTAAACTAAAAGCAGCTAATAGTGTTTCGGGAATGTGTTTGCATTATACACAAATGATGAAAGAAAAACTAGAAGAAACACCCAAAAACCCTTTTTTAAAACAGCCTTAACATGTGAAGGTTAAACCTGGTACCATAGGGACCCAGTCACAGTCACAGTTGGTATAATCTTTAATTAAATTATGAGTGTGGAGTTAATAAGATCACGGCTGTCTTTGGTAATTAATGACAGACTTTGATGAAACCGAGGTGTGTCACAGGGTATTGTCAGGTGAACCATCCGCTCGGGTCCATTGATCTTCTGCCATGATCACAGCTGACACTGTCACACTGTCAGAGAGATTAATGTGACTCTGTCCTGCATAATGTGGATAACAACCTGAGGGTAATCACTGGTTTGAACCATAGACTGGTTTGAACCCTAGGAAGACGCAGAGGGATTGAGAGTTGGAGTTTGAAATTATTTTTTAATTTTAAGTTTTTAGGACTGAACAGACTCAACATAAGAACAGTAGACATATAAGTATCATCACTGAGCGATCAGAACTCGGGACAGGAGAAGCGAAAACAGACATCACAACACGTAGCTTCACGGAGGAAACACGGGAGAAATTATTTCTGTTGTTCTGATCAAAAGTTGTGTTTAATGGCATTAAAACGATAAAAACGCTGCTGAAGGTTAATCCATAGGTTAATCCAATGTGTCTGTGTCACTTTGAAATTATTACTGATAATCCATCTTCATATTTATGTCAATAACGGAGATTTCATATTAGCTACGAGAGTATATGAGAGCTTCCGGTTTTGGGCATTCTGGCTACGCATCACTCATTCACCAATGGGTAATGTTTAGATGGATTTTAGGAACCTCCCCTCGATTCTATTGGCTCTAACGGTTAAAAAGAGGTGTCAATCATCAAAATCGACCAAGGTCATAGATATGGAAAATGCACCCAAATGACCACAGAAATGGGTTTATTTTTTCTAAATGTCTCTAGAGGGGTTAAATGTCACTTGCTTTGCATCAATCTTGATACAGGGTACTTATATGTTATAATTTGGATTCCTAAATCTTTTAGTCTAATATCCCATCATTCAAGGGTGGTTTTCACTATACTGTAAGTAATGTGATTTTTTGGACGGACACTATAATTTATAGTTTTTTACTGTTCAATCTGAATTTTCTTTAAAATAAAAAAATTCTATATTGATTCTGATTCCTCTACATCAAACTCACAGGTTTTTCATTGCTTTGAGAAAAAAGATTATTAATTTAACCCTTTTAGAAGTGAAGATAATAGTCAATTGTTCTGGGAATGTCATTTTCGAGCCTGAGGCCTGAAAAACAGGCTCAGGGCTCAACTGGTTATTAATCTGCATTCACAATACGTAATTTGCTCTTTGTTCAAAGCAAGGTTGGGAACAGAGCTTTCCGATAAAAAAAAAAAACAGGTTTAGTTTCGTGGTTACACCTGATAGCATTAGCATATGCAGCTGTCATTTGATTGGTTGCGTCAAATGGTCAGCAATAAACAGGGTCAAAATTGAAATAATGGAAACTTCGGGGGTGAAGCGCTCTGTGACAATCGTCCTCATTTTTTTCCTGCAAAACATTAAAATAAAATTGTTATTTTAACAGAATGCCTGTGCCACAATTTAGAGCTTTTGAGTTTGAAAGACGTGAACATGAAGGCAGGCTCTCACGAAACGCGCTATTGAGTTGCATTATGGGAAGTAGATGTAGGATTTGTTTACCATCATATATTGTAATTTTTCTCGAGGCTAAAAGTCAGAATATGCAAGTCAACTGTGACTAAACTACTATTTATGACAGGATCTCTCTTTATTATTTCTGTCGTCTGAGCTTCCCTTAACGTATGTGTTGTCGTGTTCACTACATTTGTGTAAGACCTGATAAAGCCAAAAATTGAATGATGTCAAACATTTACATGTCCATTAATTCAAAGTAGCCTATGTTATTTGGATACAGACTGGATAAATCTATCAGTTATCGTCACCCAAACTTCAGTCATGAGACTTGAGGCAGCAATTCAGCTGTGTTTAAAACATCCATAATAAAAGAGCTTGAGCTATTCTAATCTATTCTGGCATTTATATCCCAGAAGATTTTTAAAATCAGATGTAATATTGATGGTTACAACATTAGCCTATTTTCAGCATCTAGCATATTGCAAAGCATACAACTATAAAGGTGAGACATGAAGAATAACTCAATTGCAATATTCAGAAGCTTCTTCAAAAAAACTCATTATATATTCTGCTAAATTTAGACACTGTCACAAAAGGGTTTCATCAAAAAATAGCCTTGCACAAAAAGTACAAGCACAAAGAAGTGTAGGCCTCAGTGAAAACTTAATTTCCATGCTTTACTTAGACATTCAAATGAGGGGTAAAATTTGCAAGTAAGGTTTAAACTGCACCCATTGACATGCAAATACTGGACCAACACAACAACTAGCTCTGCAGCTCCTCAAGTGCAGCAAATGTAGACTCCTGCCAGGAAAAGCCACCCCTTATTTCCCATTGTTGTTTGAATAATTATGATTCATGTGTTAATTTCTAGAAACAAGGAAGTGTATAGCCATACAGCTACAGCCGGTGAATAGCACCTTCTCTACCAGCTCTCACCATGATACAAACATTTTTCCCTCCATGGCACCAGTAGCCTTGGTGCTGCTTTCATTCACTGACCGAGGGGGCACATGGAGGAGGGTTTGACTGCGGAGGAAACATAAATCCCGATAAGACTTTGCTATCTCAAGTGAAATGTAAAGCAGGAGGCAGGCAGGCAGCATATAACACCGGCCAGTCAACCACAACTCCCACGTGGCCACTGTTAAATCAACTCTCACATTTCCAGGAGGCGCAGAGAGGAGCTGCGCGTGACCCCTTGTCTTCTTCATGGCTCATCGCTCCGCTCACCCCGCGGTGCCCATCGCGCTGCTGGTGTTCGGACTTGTTGCCATCTTGCTCCTGACTATCCCCACTGAAGATGTCCAGGAGCCGCCGGGGTTCATGGTAAGTTGGGTATTTCTGGACTCAGGGTATAAGTTGTCGAGGTAGAGTAACCCAAGCTGTGCTGGCCACGGTGCAGAGAGGTAAATAAGGTGTTACTAGTAGATTCTGTCACATTAGCAGGGGCGGATTTAGTGATTCGGGGGCCAGATGGGCATACTCAAAAGTTTCTGAATTAAAAGTAGTATTTCCTCAAAGATAAAGTATTGTGTTTACTTCAAGTGAAGAGTGGAAAAGAAGCCTTATCAGGGCAATGTAGCCTACTTTACGTCTGTTCAAGGTGGAACCTAGGAAGTATGCATACTAAAAACTCTTTTTGAAGTAAAATTATTATTTATATATTAATAAAATACTGCCATAACAGCCTAATGTTACAACATGTACTTAACATGTGTTCCATTTAAAGCTTGCATTTTTTAATTGTTAAATGTTGCAATCCAAATCAACATTGTAAACAGTAACAACCCTCTGTCATGTTTTCCTATATGGAAGAAGCCCACAGTAAGTATGTTTTGTCGCCTATTGCTTTGAAGTCTTTTGCAATATGTTAGGGCTCATTCTGGTATTATGGATTATCTTTCTGAATCACAATAGTTAATTAAGTTGAGTTGCATAATGTATTTCAAAGTGCTTTGAAGTCTTTTGTGATATTTTGGGGTATATTTGTATTCCTGTTAGTAAGAGTTATTTGGAGACGGTAACCCAAGCTGTGCCGGCCAGGGTGCAGACAGGGTGCTAGTTGTGGATTCTGTCACATTAGCAGGGGCGGCTCTAGTGATTTGGCAAACACCATCTTGTTTACTTTTCACCATCTCTCTAAGTGTTGGTTTTGGCAGTGGTAGAAGAAAAAGTAAGTACTAAAAACTTGAAGAGGTTAAGAGTCGCATTTACAGGCTTTCAGTTGTACAATGATAATGCACGAGCTAGAAAACATTAATATAATCCAATATTTGATTTATATCTTATCATAATAAAAGTTCTGGCTGTTTCTTTTGGTTGGGGGCCTCAGGCAGTTGCTTATTGTGCCTATAGGTCAAGTCTGCCCCTGGACATTAAAAGGCTACCTGTATGTTGGTTGTTAAATTATTATTTTTCTTTTAAAGTTAGCTATTGCAGCCCTATTTCTACTCAGCTGTAGTAATATAAATTAATAAAAAGTAGAAATACATCAGTGTAGACATAATAAGACTAAGCATACTGCTAGAAAGTATACAGATATTTACTTAAGTAAGTAAATGTCCTTACTTTACACCCGGTTTAAATGTATATTTGAATTCTTAAAAACCCACCAAAAATGTGCCTTAAATGTCATCCTTATTTCTCAAAATTATATAATCAATGGTCTAATTTAGTCAAACGTATCCCTTTTTATTCAATTTTGTCTTCTATATTCACATTTTCAGTATGGCTCACATTGATTTATTACAGTGTTATTTCTGACCTAGCCTTTGACAATTGTGCAAATGTCATCCAGTTTATGTAAACCTAGCTTCAGGGCACTGGAGTTCCTACTAAATGTCTCTGTTGTCATCTTTAAACGTTGGTAAATTAATGCCTCAAGCCAAAGGCGTTTGCTGTTATTAAAATAATTAGGTTCCCCTTCCATGATTGTGTAATGCGTTCACACCAGGGGGGTATACTACGAATCTAGTTCAACCTATCCTGGATATGTTTTGAGTTATCCGGTTGACTTAATCCAAAACAAAGCCGCTCTCGCTAAACTGTCCTACAACGCTGGCTATCAACTCGTTCGCTCAAGCCAGCCGTGTCCTATCTAGTTAGGTCGAGTTAGGTGCATGAAAGGGGCGGTATCTGGAGCATTCGACCAATCACAAACATGGACAAAACTATAATATTAGTCAAATATGAAGAAGTTAAACTTTAAACATCCATGACTTAAACACTTTATCCAGGATAAAAGCAACATAGTTGCACCTGCAAGGTGAATACAGCTGGTAAAAGAAAAAGTGTTTGAATGCGTACATTAACGGGTTTATGATATCACTGACCCGTCTAAGACACCGAGGTGGATCTGACTTTAATTNAAAGCCCTCACCAAAAAAGTAATGAAATGTGTAAGGGAAACTTCTGCAGCAATGGAGAGTCAGGACTCAGAGAGACACGAGGAGAGTTGGAGCTTTGATCATCAAAGCTCCAACTCTCCTCGTGTCTCTCTGAGTCCTGACTCTCCATTGCTGCAGAAGTTTCCCTTACACATTTCATTACTTTTTTGGTGAGGGCTTTGTTTTTGTTTAGTATTTTTTAACTCCTTTATTGGATAGCTGACAGGAAATGATAGGAGAGAGAGTGGGACATTAGACTTCTCTGCTGGAATTGAACCAGGAGTGTTCACCTGCTTCCAATTTTATCAGGCGATTAAATCAGTTTTTATCAGGAGCATAAATCTAAGGCTTTAGGTCTCGACTCTACCCCTTAGTTTGCTCAGTAGGCAGTTATCGTCCACTGATATGATGGATCACCACGGGAAGATTAAAAATGATTAGGTGCAAGCTCTAGGGTTCATATTAATAACGACATGAGCAAAACAGGAAGTTAGGTGACCTATAAACGAGAGACTAAGGAGGTTGGATATCAGGTTGATTGATTGGTCATACAAGAAGACCACTGTTCGTGTTTCAAAACTCACCATGTGGACTTATTTAATTTTACTGGATTTAAGGTATGTAACAAACACCTTTTTTATGAAAAAAAATGATATGATGATGATGAACATTTCATTTAAGACCTTGAATTTCTATTTAAGAAAATGTAAAAATTAGAATGATTAGTGTTTTAACAAGATAATTGGTGGTTTATGTAAATCATCAAGCACAAATACCAAAATATCTTCGGCTCCAACAATTTGTTCTCTTTCAACCCGGTCTCACAGTCTGCATACAAATGACACGACTTTGCAAAGGCGTGCGGTGCAATAGATACCAGAAGTCCGATTTTGCGTGCATATGATACGCTGATGGTTAGGGTTAGGGTTAAATAAATGGCAAAGATATGTAAAAAATAAACGCATTTAAGATACGTTCATAACAAACGTAACGTGGGAGTATCATATTATGCGTGGCATTTGTACGCAGACTGAAGAGAGTGGGCTGGTTAAAACTAACATACTTTTTAAGACATTCACTTTAAATGACCCAGCTTGCATTTGTTTTACCCAATTATTTTTCTTGAATCGTATATAGTGTTTTAATCAGGTTTGAGGTACCTATGCTACCTTCCCCAATGCTCCGTTGGGAGGAACGTATGCGTAGTTTGGGACAAAGCTCACCTGGCGGACAGGATGATGACGCGGGCCTCCAGCTCTTTGGCCTCCAGCAGCAGGGCAGTTAAGTTAGTGTCCTGGCTGAACTGGAGGACTTTCTCTGCCTGTGATCGGGGCATAAGAAAGGTCAAGCCAGCTACTTTCCCCTACCTTAGACACCATGCTGCCTCTTTACCTGTTTGCTTTCGAGCTTGGCCGATTTTGATTGAAAACGGGAGACAGATATAAAAAGGAAAGCGATCCAGGGGAACCGGCTCAACTAAAAAAAAAAAAGCTTGGAGGGAAAAAAAACTTTTGCATTTGTCTGCATGCAAACTGAGGGTTATCAAGGCTCCAAAGAAGGACGTGCATGTGTTAGGTAGGGGGAAGAAGAAGGTCAATGCAACCAGTAACTAAAAACGGGTGCCAAGGCACACA